GTGTTTTTGTCATAAAGTATGCACAGTATTTGCTGCACGACGATCTTGCCAAAATGTCAATGTTATTTGATGCTGCAAATGCCAGGCTTGAAATTGCAACATTGCTGTTCAAAAATAGACAATTGAGACAGGTTGGAAGGGGAAAATCAAAGTAAAATGACTGAACTACTGTTGATTGAATTGTTTTCATGATAGATTAGGTTGATAGCTGTTCAAAGTTTGACAAAATAGATGTTTTATGATGTAGTCAATGGATGACTGAAATATTGTTGAATGTGAATTTGTTTTTCTCAAGTAGTTGGTACAAAGGAGGCGAAAGTATTGGTCTTTATGTGTATGGTTTTGTTTATATAATTTAAGTATTTTATGGAGGTAAAAATTTATATTTGCACGGTCTGAACATGTTACAAATGATTTCAAATGGTAACACATGGTTAATGTCTTACATAATTGCAAGTCACAAATGATCACAAATAGAAACAGTTGCTCACAAATGGTCATAAATGACCACATATACTTAACATGTATGATTTATACATTTTTCATAAATAGTATACACAGAATTGGTCACATCTAGTCGAAGATGACATTCAGATTCAGGTAAAATAATCAAGTTAATTAACTTTGAATTCATTCATAGTGTTACAGACGACCACAGCCAAACAAAAAACCTATAGCTGGTTACTGCCTTTTGTGCTAGAAATGGTCACAGATGGTCACAATCATCATAAACAGAGTCACAATCAATGTCTGTTTACGCTGCCTTTCCTAGAAACATGTGTGACATCCTGAAATGTAATCTAACATCTATGCATAAATTTGTCAACTCATATATTCCAAACAATACATAGTTGGTAATAAAATGAAACAATTTGCAATTACAAAGAATGTCCTCGTGTAAAAAATAAAAAATACTACGCTAAGCTAAGCTAAGCTAAGTTAAGCTATTTGAATTTCTTTAGATCTTTCTTTACTTTCAATTTGCCGTTGTTCTGATTAAGTGACACCATATTCCTGCATGTTCGACGATTGTGACTGAATTCACCACATTTTTCACATTTCACAACTTGTGATCTCTCACAAGTTGATTTCTTCCTCCTCTCAGTAGGTTGACCGGAACTTTTCTTTTGGATTGGAGCAAGTAAAACTCTACTATTCATATCTTTCGGCAAATCCATTCTGATTTATTACCTACAGGAAAGACTGTCTCTTTCTAAATATTCAGATATGCATCTCTTGGGTAATGCACTGAGTAATCGTCGTACACATCCAGCTTCAATGTTGCTTTCACTGCCAGTGTATGGGGACAGGGAAGTTGATCCACTTGAAATATTCTACAACTACATGTATGTTGAATTATATCAATCATGAACGATGAAAAATTGTCCCTCACTTCAAACAAAGTGTGACTTGCAGGTGAAAACTGAAAATAAAAAATATTTAAAGTTATACCTGTGATCAACATAATATACATAGTTTGCTATTTTTACCTTTAGATTTCTCACATCATTGCTCGTTTTCCTCATCAGCTTCTCATATTTGGTTGCTAGCTTTGTGAAAGTGCCATGTACGTTATCTATATTCTTGCAAAACCAAGATTTGATTGTTTGCCGCAGTGATTCTAGAAGTACTTGAATTGGGTAATTCTTTGCCGCTTTCACGACTGCATTTACAGATTCTACTATATTTGATGTCATAGTAGAGTATCTATTGTTTGGCATGTGCAATCTTGACCATTTGTCATATCCAACATCCATCTAAAAAATAATTTCCTTCGTGACTGCATTTACAGATTCTACTATGTTTGATGTCATAGTAGAGTCTCTATTGTTTGGCATGTGCAATCTTGACCATTTTTCATGTCCAACATCCATCTAAAAAATAATTTTAGTTATTAGATAATATATTTAGGCACAAGTAACAACAGGTCACATACGGTCACAGTTAACTTTAAAAGATTTACAGATAGTCAATATTATTACAAAACAAGTGACAGATGGCCACATTCATAAAATACATCATGTTTCAATTGTAAATGAGGCCACAGACTAAATATCCACCGATATTTTTCATTCATAATCCTGTTTTAGTTTCATGTAACAATAAATAAAATACAGTTCGTACATTAAACATACATGATCATAGATATTCAGAGACATTTCATAATATCACAGAACAAGTCACAGAAGTTATAATATATATTACAGACAATCACATACCAAATATCCCATGATCTCTTCATTTATTGAGTCTAATTACTGCATTTGGTATTCAAATTCATCCATTGTATACGCTCTGACAGCAAAATTAAATGCATATGTTACATTGTGACCTAATTTTACGTTTTAACCAAATGGTAAGAACAGATCCCATGCATTGCCTCTGTATATATAAATTCAATGGCATTTCTTATGCTATTGTGTCTATCTAATACTATACATAATCCATCTTTCGATCCATATGCTCTCTTCAACATCTCAAAAAACCATTTTCATGACTTATCATTTTCATTATCCCCAATCTCAAAAGCTAGTATGAAAATGTTATTATTTGCATCTTGTGTACAAGCTGTGAAGGGTGTACCCCTATAATGGCCATTTAAATATGTGTCATCAACTACAATGACCGGCCTACAATATTTCCAACCAGCGATAGATGCACCCAAAGTCATAAAACAATATTTAAATGATCCGTTTCTATTCTTGTGACTGTCCCCATGTTCATCCGTTCTAACATAAAGAAATAAGACGGCAGCAACTGAAACGATGTCGTTGGATCACCTCTAATCAGTTTTAATTTTTGTTCACGTGACCTCCACGCTTTCACATAATTTACTGATACTCCATATTCACGTAACATGTCATTCGAGATATCATTAGGAGTGTATACTATACATGAAGAGGTGTATTTGTACCTGATGTAGTTTGACACAATTGAATTAGATGCTTTCCGATGAGATCTTAAAACAATGTTCATCGAGCATGTATGACCATTATATATTTCCCTGATCTTAAACATTTTCGTTTCTCCCAAGCGTGAAGATCTAAATATCCATTTGAAATCATTATGCAAACACTTTACCATGTACTCCTTCTTATCCGATCTCAACACCTTATATTCAAACTTGTTTTGTATAGTATAGAAGGCCAAGCTCATTTTTAGTATGTTCTTGTTGCGAAAAATATTTCCCTCTACTACTACTCTAGCATCTACTTCGGATACCAATGTCACATCTTCAATGTTTTCTTTGTCAACGATCAATACCGAGTCACAAATTTCTTGAGTTATTTGTTCTAAAGAAAACACATTAGCTGATGACTCGACGGAAGTAGTCGACGACTCTGGACATTGCAATGTATATCTTGACTGGCATAAAACTGTAGTGATAACATCAACAATAATAGGATAACTCGATATAACCTCATCTAAAGATTTTAACCTCAAATACGTTAGGACATTATTATTGTTCAACTGGAGGTAAATTAGAATCCAAAGAATATGTTATTGTCACAGCTAAGTTTGCACCAATAAGCCCCAATTATGAAAGAACAAGCTCGACCAATTCATCATACTTGCATGTATCATTCACTAGTATAAGTGACGTGTGACCTCTGTATAACATGCAAACGTGCAAAACTGGCATTCTTAATCATACACAGAAAATTCAATTCCTCTACAACCGAACTTCAATTTCTCTTGAAAAATGAAAATCTGAAGTATGTCTATAGAATTGTGACCTCATTCATTGATCGTGGCTTAAAATCAAGGATTAATTGTGATTATACGTTTACCTTCAAATCAAACCATAGGAGTTCAGTTTTTACTTTGGGTTCGTTTCGGCCACAGCCAGCTTCAACTTCTTCAAAGTAGTAAAAATCAAAAGTATTTTGACGGGAATTGTGACCTTATTCATTGATTGTGGATCAAAATTGAGGATAAACGGTGAATTTGTGTGATTTTGGAGATGTTCGGCAAGATGGGTTTGTAGAGAGAAAAAGTGCCGTTTGATTGGGAGAGGAATGTGAGAAAAATCTTTTAAATATAGTATAGTAAGATTTGTAGGAGTTAATTTGGTATATATGTTCGGCAAGATGGGTTTGTAGAGAGAAAAAGTGCCGTTTGATTGGGAGAGGAATGTGAGAAAAATCTTTTAAATATAGTATAGTAAGATCTGTAGGAGTTAATTTGGTATAGTATATTTAATCCAAACTTAGTGTATATTATATTATAATTATATATTTAATATTATGATTTAGCACTTGATTTATGAAAATTTTTAAACAATTTGTCGATTTTGAAATGTGTTTTTGTAATGTAATAATCATGCAGCGTTCCCTTCTTTTAATTGCCCACTATTAATATAGTCCATTCATAAAAAGTGATCTCAATTTAAAAAAGAAACTTTCAGTCTATATGGTGAACTTTGGAAACGTAGCAGAAATGAGGTACCACTCCTACTTGCAATTATTTTTTTCCGTTATATATTTATTGAGGATAGTTTCTTGACTACAGGGAAAAATCATGCTGCATTTGTTGAATCATTTGATTTAAAAATTTAATTTTTTACATAGAATTACAAGTAAATTATTAAATATTATATTCACTATATTCCTCATATTTAGGAAGGATTCTTTCTTCTTCTTCCTTTTATATTTTTCTTCTAAAATTCTTCAAAGCCTAGTACGTAAAAAATTTAATTTAAACTTGGAATTATTGTCCTAATTCCATGAAGATTTTGAATAAAAGACACAAGGCATTTTTGCATAGATTTTGACCACATTGGTCAATCAAATAAGATTGCTACACATAGAAGTACGTTTTTGATATATCGAACTTCAATATAAATTAGAATTTGAATCCAAAAGAAAGAAAATAAAAATCAAAATACAAAGATACTTATGAGACATTTGGTTCAAAGCTATCTCATTTCACTTTTAACAAATGTCTAACAACAGAAAATGTAAAAGAAACAAATAAACTTAAAATCGTGTTTTAAGTTTCTACAAGGAGAAGAGTCGTGTGAAGAAATTTCCTGAATTGGTTTTTTCCTCTAAGCAAGCAACATGAACGTATCTTCCTAACTTGTCCACTTGTCTTGCCTCACCTTTGGTGTCTTTCTTGCAAATTTTGCAGGTTTTGTCCACCCAACCTTCTTCTACATATTGTCCATCCACTGAAATAATAATAATAAAAAAAAAGGTATTACAACACTTTTCTGAGCCATTTGGTTCGGTTTTTGGTTTCTTAAAATCGATACCAACATTTCGACTAGACATTGCAATTTACTCGTGGCAAAGTGACCCCCCACGTGGAGTAAGACTGGACATATTTGCTATCGAACAAGAAAAATAATAAGGTTTTTAGTTTATTTATTTATTTTTCTTTATTTATGTGAATCCAACCTACCAAATAAATATAATAATTATAATTGTAAAATTAGTTTTCAATGATCGAAACATGTGAAATCTTTGTTAAGTTGTCTCCTGGACATTGTACATCCAACTTATGAAGTTGGGCTTCAAAAATTTACAATCAGGCATATAATTTAACAAAAATCTAAATAATTTTCGGTACTGAGTACTGATTGTGTAACGTTAATGAAAGATTGAGGAATAACTTGTTCTTTTTTAAAGGTTAGAAACTAACTTACTGCTAAACAATAGATTAAGAACCAATGGTGTAATTTTTCTTCATTATATGCTACATATCAAATTATTGGAGATCTCATCATACTCTGCAATTAGGCTTTATGGGCTTAGCCACTTAGAAATTCTTTAGTTAATTTGCTTACCTTCTACATATGATTTGAAGAAATCTTTGTATGTTCCACCAATCTTCCTCCTAAGAGCTCCATACTGCAACATATCAAATGTTTTAATCAGGATAAACAATCCCACAAAAAAATAAAAACTAAAGAGAGAGAATCTACTTCAGATCTTACTCGTCTTCAAACCCGCCTGGAAAAGAAACTTGGGTAATATGGGTTGTTCATTTTTCTTCCAATACCAAACTAGTGAAATCATTATACATACACATGACAATTTGTACATTTGGGGTCCTTTTGACAAAAGTTTTTTTAAAAAATAAAAATTACTTGACAAAAAAGTTGCTTTTGAATATGATTGATGACCAATTTACATCGCTTTTGGACTCCATTTAACTAATTTTATTAAGTCTTCTTCTAATTAAAAAAACTTTTAGAAGAAATTGATCTAATGTAGTTCTCTCTAAACTCACTTTTGGAATAAAAAAACTCTTTTAAAAATTAATTTTGAAACAAATTAAAGTAACTTGATCCAATAGCAAAAGTCATACTGAATAGACCCTAAATAATTTTTTAAAAGTGCTTTGGCTAACGAGTGAGTTTTTAAAGGAAGTGGATTCAAGGTAATTTTTTCAATAAACTCTTCTACGAGAAGCAAAAGCAAAAGCAAAATAAAAAACAAAAGCACTGACAAACATGCCCTTAAAGACCTCGCTTATTGTATACCTTGCTTTAATTATCTCATTGAGAAAGTAGTCATGGGAAGGACATGAGTACCTGTTCCCTTGTCATCCTTTCACCTGTTTGCGTTGCTTCTGTAGCTTCGTCCAGGAGTTCAGCATCCTTGGCAGATCTTACCTGTGAAAAATCTAAAGCTTCGGTCACACTCGAAAACAGAGATTGCTTCTTCTTTTTTGGTTCTTCATTGCCATCCTCTTTCTTGGCAGAAAATATAACAAATTTCAAGGTCCTGCTATCATTAGAATATTTCTGTGAAATTCCTGAAGTTGCAGGAAGATGAAGCCCAGTTTGTGAAGATGACAAGGGAAGTGCCCTCAGTCCCATCTTTTGCTTCGCAAACTCTGAAGAATATTCACAACTCCCATACACCTTATATGTATAGAAAAACTTGAGAACAAATGAGCAATTGCAACCACTCACAATGTCTGATGGTGAAGAGGAGAAGACGTGGCCTTTTGGTTGGCTATTAGAATTGAGAGGGCAAGGCAATTCGTCACCTTGAAAATATCTTTGTTTTTTGCCCCTTTCAATCCAATCCTTTAGTTTAATTATCTAAGTTTCTAGTTGAGAAAATTACAGTTTGGTGCTACCGCTACGGGCTAAAAATTTACTTATTAATCAAATATGTAAGTTATAAAATAAACAATTATCAATGGGTCATAGTCATAGAAATAGAATTTACTTATTACGACAGTAATAGTTTTCGTTTTTATTTATAAAAAAAGAAAAAAATTACATATTCTTTAAAAATAAAAATAAAAAGAAAAAAGAAAGAAACTACAACTTTGCATTATCAACTTTATTATTAAAATTTATAATTATATACTGTTGCGTTTTTTTTATATTGCAAGTGTACGATATCATAACAAGTAGATTAGTGGACCTTTGAAGCTAGATATCGTTCCTACGAGGACCAAACTTTAGAACTTAATCTAATTTTTCTAACTCTTATTTGATAAAAGTAAGTAAAGAAATATGATACTTGTGATTATTATTATTATTATTATTATTATTATTATTACTTGAAAATATCAAATTTTGCAAACAACGGTTGATTGAAGATTCAAATATGGGATAAATATCAGCGCATAACAATTTCATCTATTGATCACCTTATTTCTTAATTCAAGATTCATAACTTAATGTAATGTTCGATCGAATTCTTCTATTGTATTCAATTTACTCCCTCGATTTCTAATTGAGCCTATTTAACTAATTAAATTTCATATCTATATGTGAATCAATCTTAATTAAACGAAACACTAGTTCTAAAAATTCATATTATAACCGCAATAATTGGTATAAATATCTCTACACGTTATACTAATTTATCGAATTTTACTATATAGTCTACATCCAAAACTCACATCTCGATTCGTTAGAGACTTACATAATCATCAAATTAGTGATCAATTAATTCAATGCATTAAATTCATAGTAAAATCAACACATATATGAATAAATCACTGAAATCTTGAATAGAAGAATAAATTATCACAAGTCGACTACATTGTTTGCCCTATTATGAAAATTTTGTTACTCATTATGTAAAAATAAATACGAGAAATTGTCTTTGAATATATCACTGGATTATTTGATTAAATTCTCCTTGCAACTACGTTTTCTGGTATATATATTCTTTTAGCCGTAGTCCTCTTCTTCTCATATTTTTTGTGTCTATGCGTGTGTGCATATATATATATGCACAAAAGCAGCCTCTCCCTTTCTTTTTTGTGCGTATGGTATATATATATTCTTCAACAGTCGTCGTTTTTTACTTGTTTTTTTTTTTCCTATCTCCCTTATATCTCTTCTTTTCTACGTGTATGTTTTATATATATACCCTGCAACCCGGCTTTTCTCCTATTTTCTCTCTGTCTGTGTATTTTTTTCCGTTTGCACTCATGTATGTATCTAATATATAATATATATTTTTTAATTTAGGCCTCCAATTCGTACCCATTAATGCTATATTATCATTTAAGTCCTTAGTCTTTCCAAAGTATGAAATTTGATCTCCAAACTTTGCATCCAATAGCCAATTTAGTCCCCGTACTTTGGATTTTGCCATTTTTTTTGATATTTTTCATTTTTTCTCCAATTCGTCATCAAACATAAAATTTTACCTACAAAATGCAATATAACATAAATTAGATAGAATTTTATTTAAATGACAATAAAATATCATCATTTGAGATTTAGAATAAGTGTAGAAACAACACTTATCGTATAGAGTACAATGAAGTTTGGGAACTTTACAAGTCAGGGAGCTGAGTAAGATTGGTTGGATCCACTGATGCGAATGAATTCAGAATTCGTTCTCACTGGTAATTTTTAGTAGCTTCCGTGTCTCTATTTCTATATATTTTTTTTTTGTCTGTTATAATAGAGAAACATCCTTCCTATCCTTTTTTGCTTTCAGTTTTTGTTTAGTTTTTGTAATGAATTCAGTTTTTTCAATAGAGGAACATCACTAGTAATGAATTCAGTTTTTGTTCCACATTTGAATCAATTCTATTACATCATTGTCTCACAGTAGAATTCAACTGACTTGGTTTGTGAAATTCTAATGGTTATTGCTGGCATTATATTAACAGCATAGTCATTGGGCTTTCAGTTCCTCTCTTGTTGGCTGGCTTCTCCAATTATATGCAAAGTTTGAATTGATAGAGAATCACTATAATTGTCTTAAAAATAGTATTTGCATAACATTGTAAATATATAGCTTAATAAGTAAATATTTTACTATATAGATGAGTAGTGTACTATATATTTTTGTATTTCTTTGTATTGTCTATGATCCCTCTTGCTTTTCAGAGTAGTAGTTCATTCTATTTCTCCTTAAAGTTTTCAGGAGCAAATATCAATTTACTCATTTCAAAGACAACAATATGATACAAATAATCATGCAGTTAAGAGGATAAATTTATTTAGATAAGAATGCTTAGATAAGGGGTTGTTTTCTTCCTTCTATTATAGTGCTGGGATTATGATGTTTTGGGTTGAATTTGGTTTATGTAAGAAAAAATTGGCTTCTATGCCTTTTGTCGTGCATTTTTTTTTAGTTAGTCATATTTAATTGATTATGGGNTATTTTACATTCTTTTCTCCAAATTTTCATAAATTTTTACCTACAAAATGCAATATAACATATCTTAGGTAGAATTTTATCCAAATGATAATAAAATATCATAATTTATGATCTCGAATAAGTGTAAAAACTATACATTTCATATATAGTGATGTCTAAATAAACAAATATCAAACTTTTAAGGAAGTATCAAACTTCTTCCAAAGTGCTCTCCAAAAATGACTTAAAAATTTGATATCTCTATCGTAAATAACAAAACTAGAAACACCATGAAGACGAATGACCTCCTTGAAAATGATATCTCTATCGTAAATAACAAAACTAGAAACTCCGTGATGACGAAAGACCTCCTTGAAAAATAAATAACTGACGAGAAGCATCTGACATTTTCTTACATAAAATAAAGTGAACCATCTTGGAGAATTGATCAATTATTACCCCGTCTGACTACCCCTTGCGACAGGAAGCAGTTTGAAAAATCTTTGTGGATGGGTCCTCACACTGTGAAAGATCCAAAGCAGGCATCATTATGATAGGGTCAGAGTCTGAAGAAAAAAGAGTATTCTTTGCGCTTCGAGTTCCCTACAATAAATAATGATACCAAGTATGAGGCAGTACTTACGAGCATGAGCTTGGCAGCCAGGCTTGGGGTGTCCTCAGTAGAAAATTGCAGTTACTCTCAGTTGATAGTTGGACAAGTGACGAGAGAATTTGAAGCAAGAGATGAGAAAATGGTAGCTTATTTGATGAAAGTTAGGGACCTGCAAAGGGGTTTTGTAAGTTTCAAGATAACCAAAGTCCTCTGCAAAGACAATGAACGAGCCGATGCTTTGTCCGAGCTTACATCCGCAAACCTAAAAAATCTGCCCAGCACAGCAAATGTACAAATCTTGCGACAGTTGAGCATTATGCACATAGTTTACATAGCGAACACGAAATAGGAGAAAAATTGGATGGACCAATTGATCGATTATCTTGTGGAGGATAAACTGCCGAAGATGTACCTGAGGTGAGGAGACTGAAAATTCTAGCAGCTTTGTTCATAATTACCGATGGACAACTTTACAAACAAGGATTCACCACGCCGTACTTAAGGTGCTTGCACCCAATTGAGGCATATGCGGTGCTATTCGAGATATATGCAGGAGTCTGTGACAATTATCAAGGGACGATTGTCCTCACATTCAAAGCTTTACGACAAGGGTACTATTGGCCCACGATGAAGGAGGATGCCAAAGAATTGGTAAGAAAGTGTGATACATGTCAACATCACGGGAATTTGATTCATATTCCAGCTGAGCTACAATCAGCTATTTTCGGGGCATGCCTTTTCTTTTAATAGGGAATCGGTATTTTGGGACTTTGCCTACGGCCAAAGGACAGAAAACGTTCTTGCTAATAGCTATTGACTATTTCAAAAAATAGGTTGACGTGGAACATTTGGCCACAATCACGATGGCTAAAGTATAGAGTTTCACTTGGAAAAACATTATATGCAAGCTTGGTATACTGAGAGTCCTCATTTTCGACAATGGCACACAGTTCGACAATCACGGCTTTAAGACCTTCTGTGTGAGCTATCACATAGATCATCGACTCACTTTCGCTGCTCACCCCCAGGGTAATGGACAGGCGAAAGTGACACACCGAGCGATATTATGGGATTTAAAGCCGAGGGTGGAAAAGGAAAATGGGCGGTGGGCAGACGAATTACCTAACGGGTTGTGAGCGTATCACACGACCCCGTGAGAACCAGCATGAGAAAATCCTTTCAAATTATCTTTTGGAATGGAAGTCGTTGTCCTCGTGGAAATCCTAAGCAAAATCGCCAGGATGAAAGTCAAGAAGCTCGATGTCATTGCTACCAGTGCAGAGCTCGACCTACTTGAGAGGGTGAGAGAGAAAGCAGCATCAGGATGGCATCTTACAAGTGAAGGGCCACCGAATACTTTAATCGAAGGGTAAGACCAAGAGTTTTTCAACTGGGAGTTCTCGTACTAAGGGAGGTAGCAATTAATAACGGGGCACCCTCTGTCCAAGCTTGGACCAAATTGGGAAAGATCACACGAGGTGATTCGCAGACTTAGAAAATGGGTCTATAATCTAAAGGACTTGAAAGGAAAGTTATTGGGCAGACTGTGGAACATCGAGAATCTCAAGAAGTACTATCAATAGATCGACATACAAGGATTTCAAATCAAGTGATGTCCTTCATAAATAAAGTCGTTAGGGT